GGAACTGGGTTGTCTAGTTTAATGAAATGGTAGGGTCTCCTGCTTGAGCAGGGGGTTGGACTAGAAGACCTCCAAGGTCCCTTCCAGCTCTATTCTGATTGATTGATTAATAAATGATAAAATCATCATTTGTTAACGGCCCCATAATCCTTTGCTGATTGGAGTCTGAGCAACTGAATGGAGCTAGCAGAGTCTTTTAATGGCCGGATACCCTTCTCTGTCGCCAATGCGGAGTTTTGTTCAGCAGATATATTCTCATTGTGGCCAGAGAGAGAAATATCTACCTAGGATCGAACTCACAGCCTCCCACTTGTGAAGCGAGAGCTCCACCTCACACCACTCCATTAATAAATGCTTAAAATAATAACGACCATAAAAGGCCATTTCTCTTTTCCAGATTCTACCGGAAGATCCAGGATTTGCATCAGGGATCGAGCGGCACCATGGCGAACCCCTTGATGGCGTTTGCCCTGATCAAGAGATTGCAGTCAGACTGGAGGAACGTGGTTTACAGCATGGAGGGAAGTGAGAATATTCAAGGTGTGCCTTCATCACAACTCTCTAGCCTCAGGAGAGAGAACGCTCATTTCAATGTGACTCCAGGAGTACGACCAAATAAAAGCAATCCTCGCTTTACAAGCGTTTTAACAAACCGCATCCCTGTTTGACTTGGTGGCCATAGTGCCTCAGATAGAAAGTCCCTACAGAGAGTGGTGAGGACAGCAGAGAAGATTATAGGAAGCTCATTTCCCGTTTTTCAGGATGCTGCTTATGGGCACTCTGTGCTTAGAGCTCAAAGCATTGTTAGAGACCCCACACACCCACTTCAGTTTGAAGTCACCATTTGAACGAACGGTTGTAAATCGAGGACTGGCTTTATTTGGTCATAGTTCTGTAGACCACCTCCGTTGGGAGATGGCCTAGTGGTGAAGATGCTGACCTCCCCATTCGGAAGGTTGAGGGTTCAATCCTTTCTCTCATAAGGCGCAAATAAATAAAAAATCTGCTGCTAACTCCGCAAAGGCATCAGGAAGGGCATCCGGCCAGTAAATTCTAGCTCCATCCAATCGCCCCGACTCTATGCCAAATTAAGGAATAAAAAGGGAGTTTAGGGACTGTTTGAAATTACAACCAGGCTGAAAGAAAGTTACTTAAACCCAGTCCTCAATTCACACTTACAACCCTTGTAAGGCAGTCACTTGATCCAAATTTGGTTGCTTGGCAACCGGCAAGTATTTACGACGGTTGTAGCATCCTTGGGTCGTGTGATCACTATTTTTTCCCTTCCCGGCTGCCTTCCGACCAGCATATAATTGAGAGAAGCTGGATTCGCTTAGTGACCATGGCCAAAGGGGTTTTTAAGGAGAGACTGGACATCAGGTGTTCTGACCTAAGCTTCCCGAGAAAGCATAAATCACAATCTTAGTCCCCAAAACCCTCTTTTATTTATACGGCTGTGAATTATGGTCATTCACAGTCCGCTAGGCTTCCCAAACAGTCCGTGAAGATTCCGACAGATGTCTGCTTGAGTTGCCACAGTCTTTCAGGGGAATGTTAATAAACACACACCTTATCTCCCTTGGAATGCTTCCAGAGACCTCATTGCCAAAGGCAGAGCAAGGCCAAACTTAGCACAGAGTCCAACAGAAGTTTCCAAAGCTTGAACTGACTAGATGAACTAATTGCTTCCCGCAAAGGATCACGTCCCATGCACTCCTGTATCTATGTATCTATGTATCTATGTATCTATGNCGACAAGGAGGATTATTACCACTCCATTCCGTGGATGGAGGAAGCTGTCCGGCTCTTCAGGGTCTCCTACGGGGACTGGAAGACGGAAGATGAAGGGAGCCTGGAAGACGCTCTGGATCATTTAGCCTTCTCCTACTTCATGGTGAGCCAGGCAGCTTTCAGTGGACAGATTCTTTCTCTTTCTTTCTTTCTTTCTTTCTTTCTTTCTTTCTTTCTTTCTTTCTCTCTTTCTTTTTCTTTCTTTCTTTCTTTCTTTCTTTTTTCTTTCTTTCTTTCTTTCTTTCTTTCTTTCTTTCCTTCCTTCCCTTCCCTTCTCTTCCCTTCCTTCCTTCTTTTTCATCCTTCATTCCTCCCTCCCTCCATTCTTTCTTTTCTTTCCTTCCTTCCTTTCCCTCTTTCTTTCTTTTTTCTTTCTTTCTTTCCTCCCTTCTTTTTCATCATTCCTCCCTCCCTCCATTCTTTCTTTCCTTCTTTTCTTTCCTTCCTTTCCCTCTTTCTTTTTTTCTTTCTTTCTCTCTCCTCACTTTCTTGCTTTCTTTCCTTCGCCCCTTCTTTCTTTTTCTTTCTCATCCTTCCTTTCTCATTTCTTTCTTTCTTATTTTCCTTCCTCGCTTCCTTTATTCTTTGTTTCTCTCCTTCCTTTCTTCCTCCTACCCTCCCTTTATTTCTTTTTCTTTCTTTTCTTTATTTTTCTTTCTCATCCACCCTTCCTTCCTCCTTCCTTTTCTTTCTTATTTTCCTTCCTTCCTTCCTCCCTTCTTCCCTTCCTTTATTCTTTCTTCCCTTTCTTCCTCCTGCCGTCCCTTTATTTTATTTATTTATTTCTCTTTATTTATTTATTTCTCTTTGTTTTCTTTCTTTTACTATCTCTTCCTTCCTTCCTCCCTGCATTCTTCCTTTCTTTTTTCTTTTCTTTCTTTCTTTCTTTCTTTCTTTCTTTCTCTTTATTTCTTTCTTTCTCTTTCTTTTCTTTCGTTTACTATCTCTTCCTTCCTTCCTCCCTGAGTTCTTCCTTTCTTTTTTCTTTTTTCTTTTTTCTTTTCTTTCTTTCTCTTTATTTCTTTATTTCTCTTTCTTTTCTTTCTTTTACTATCTCTTCCTTCTTCCCTCCGTTCTTCCTTCCTTTTTTCTTTTCTTTCTTTCTTTGTTCTATCTTTTTTCTTTTCCTTCCATCCTCCCCCTCCCCTCATTTCTTTCTCTTTCTTTCTTTGCGTCCTCCTTTCCTTCATCCTACCTTTTTCTTTATTTCCCCCCTTTCCCACTCTCCCTCTCTCCCTCCCTCTTTCTGCCTTTCTTTCTTTCTTTTCTCTCTCCCTTCCTTCCTTCCCACTTTCCTCCATCCTTGCAGCCTCCACCCACTAGCTAAGCACCTGGAGGCAAAACCTTCATTTAATGGACTGTCTGAGAGAAGGATTGTCCATTAAATCCCAATGTCCGTTAAATCCCAATGTCCGTTAAATCCAAATGTCCATTAAATCCAAATGTGCATTTGTATTCATTTATAATTACATAATTACATCAATCATGTCAGGTGTGTGGATAAAATTGGGTTTAGCACATTTTAGGGAGTGTTTGTCCACTAAAAGGAAATGAAATTAATGCAAACTTTATTGATTTCTTCCGAAATCTATTAAATCAAGGTTTTACTCTTTACTTTTTTTAAAGTATGAGTGGAGCATATCCTGAAACAGCCAAACATAATATTTTTATAACACGTGTCCAGTCTTGAGTTTGGGGTTGCTACAGTGCTGTGTTTCACACACAGCATGAGGTTTTTAGACTGGAAGGGGTTGCTTCAAAATTTAAACTCGGGCTGCCTTTATTCCTATAAAATGTTAACTACCCACTTCTTTTTTCTCTTTCTCTCCTCCCCCCTTGAAATCTTATTTTTTTTTACAAGGCAGGAAACATTTCTCACGCCTTAAGGCTGTCCCAGGAATTTCTCCACTACGGTATGTGCTTCTCGGAAAGATTTATTTGGTCTGTCAATCTAACACCACCGCGTTCAAAGGTTGTGTTTTTAATAAATTCCATCACGTCTTCACTGCCAAAGAAATACTGCATTTACCCGAAAAGGAGGCAATCATGAATTTAGCTTCCAAAATTCCAAAATACCACAAAGTTGAGAGAGGAAAAAAAATCCACCCCCTTCCTTTTCTATATTCTCAGCAAATTGGGCACGCCTCCCTTTGAAAAAGTGAATTATTTAGGGGGGAAAAAAACACCAGGTTTGAAGCTATGACAGGCTTCCCTAGGATTATTAGTACTATAAGTAATGCTCCACTTAGGACCATACCGGCGCCCAAAATTATTGGGACAGTTGTTAAGTGAGTCTTGCCTCATTTTATGACTTTTCTAGATCAAGCTGTTAAGTGAATCTCTGAGGTTGTTAAGTTAGTGNTGTGTTTTGTCCTGCACTCCCCTCCCTCATTATTGTAAGCCGCCCTGAGTCCCCTCAGGGAAAAGGGCGGCCTATAAATGTTTAATAAAACTAAACTAAACTAACAAAAAAAAATTAGTTCATCTAGTCGGTTCACGCTTTGGAAACTTCTGTTGGACTCTGTGCTAAGTTTGGCCTTGCTCTGCATTTGGCAATGAGGTCTCTGGCAGCCTTTCAAGGGAGATAAAGGTGGGTGTTTGTCCACATTCTCCTGAAAGACCGTGGCAACTCGAGCAGACATCTGTCCGACTCTTCACAGGCTGTTTGCGAAGCCTTGCAGACTGTGGATATTTACACAGCCGTGTAAATAAAAGAGGGTTTTTGGGACAAAGATTGCGATGTTTTCCCAGGAAGCTTAGGTCAGAACAGATGGCCAAGAAATAATTCCTTATACAAGGAAATTCCCAATTGTTGGTTTCCCGCCCACACCCACACACACACACACCCTGGCCTTCTTTGTTAAAAGGGGGCTGGGAATATAGGTGGTCCTCGACGTACGACCACAATTGAGCCCCAAATGGCTGTGAGATGTTTGTTAAGTGAATTTTGGCCCAATCTGCGACCTTTCTTGGAACCGTTGTTAAGTGGATCGCTGCAGTTGACCAGTTAGTCACCCGGTTGTTAAGCGAATCTGGCTCCTCCACTGATTTCGCTTTGTCAGCAGGTCGCAAAAGGGGATCACGTCTCTCTCTCTCGCACACACACACACACACACACCAGTTGCCAATGATCATCAGTCTTAAGGGTGAAAAGCGGTGAGATATATCACATTTCCCCGCGCCCTTGCGATTTTGTAAGGTCGCTAAATGAACTGCTGTAAGTCGAGGACTACACCGGTCCTACGAGAGCTGGTGGCCGAGGCTTGGCGTTAAGGTGGTCCTGCGGGCAATCTTGGCAAAACTTTGGTGATGTCCAGCCGTTGAAGGAGGGAAACGCAAGCTGTCTTGAGTGACGATCCAGGGATGCCCACTCTTCTCTCTGGTTCTGCAACCCATGTGGCTTGTCCGTCTGATCTGCTCCGGTTTCTCCCAGGTGGCTTACGACAAGGAGGATTATTACCACTCCATTCCGTGGATGGAGGAAGCTGTCCGGCTCTTCAGGGTCTCCTACGGGGACTGGAAGACGGAAGATGAAGGGAGCCTGGAAGACGCTCTGGATCATTTAGCCTTCTCCTACTTCATGGTGAGCCAGGCAGCTTTCAGTGGACAGATTCTTTCTCTTTCTTTCTTTCTTTCTTTCTTTCTTTCTTTCTTTCTTTCTTTCTNTCTATCTATCTATCTATCTATCTATCTATCTATCTATCTATCTCTTTTATGTCTTATGGGAGGGGCCAATCATCTCCAAGCCTCACTCCCAAGTCGACCCTGTTTCCTTAATTGTTCCTGCCTTCTGGCAGCTCTGCGCATGTGCATATTGGGAAGAGGCTCCCATTGTTCTTCCGCCTCGCTGATATCAGACCCCGGAGGCTCCGGAGGTTCCGGAGGCAGCAAATAACTACCAGAAGGCCTTGGCAGGGAGAGCCTTCATCCGAGCCTTCCCCAGACTCCAGAACTGGCCCCCAACCTCCTCACTGTCCGAATCTGCTGCCCGCTCTGCTGGCAACTGGTGGGCCACAACAGTTAGCTTGCCTGAAGCGGTATGGGGTCTCCTGCTTGAGCAGGGGGTTGGACTGGATGACCTCCAAGCTCCTTTCCCACCCGGTTATTCTGTCGTCCCAACCCAACCTGTTTTTCAGCCCTGAAGGTCAGTTATCACCGCTTGGAAGACCACCTACCTCTCTTCGAGGACCTCGAAGGAGCAGCGCGAGCCCTTATGCGACTTCAGGATGTCTATGCTCTGAACGTCAGAGAGTTGGCCAGAGGCCGGTTTCGGAGGACGAGCGAGGGCCATCCTGATCTCTACCATCCCAGCCGGGATTTTGCCTTGTCTGCTGACGACTGTTTCCACGTTGGGAAGGTGAGTCACCGAAACCATGATGGTGTTGTGGCCCGCTAGTGGCCAGCAGAGCTGGCAGCAGAGTCAGACAGTGAAGAGACTGGGGAGGAATCTGGGCCAGTCCTGGAGTCTGGGGAGGCCTCGGACGAGAGCTCTGTGTCGGAGGCAGAGATGGAGAAAGGGCCGTCCGACAGATATCAGCTGCCTTCTGAGTCAGACATCAGTGGGGCAGAAGAACAGCTGGAGCCTGTTCCCAGTGTGCGCATGCACAGAGCTGCCAGAAGGCAAGAGCAGTTAAGACAAAAGGGGCGACTTGGGAGTAAGGCTTGGAGATGATTGGCCCCTCCCATAAGACATAAAAGAGGATGTGATCCTTTGCAGGAAGCAATTAGGTCCTTCAAGGTCCTACTTACAATTAGGCACTTCAAGGTCCTACTTACCA